ATGCGTACTTATCTAGCTTGCTTATACACAAGGTAATATTACAATATATGCAACACCACTGTACGTATGATATATGCTAGGCTAACAGATGGTCTCTGAAATCTTTTATTTCAAAATGCAAATCTCTCCTCCAAAAAGTCTTCTTTTTTTAGCTGAAGATGATTTGTTAAATAGAGCAGGCTAGATTTGAGTTTTAGATTGTTTTTTGGTTTCATGAAATACATACAGTGAAGTACGGTTATAACGAACACGCTTATAACGAACTGACCGATATAACGAACCTATTTTTACACCCGGCCATTTGATGTATATATGCTGTATATATGCTTATAACGAACTACGGTTATAACGAACTAAAATGGGTGGTCCCTTTGAGTTCGTTATAACCGTAGTTTACTGTATATTCTAAAGTAATGGCAAAGGACAAGAGCTATGCCCTTAACGTAAATAGAACTATATATGTCTGTTTTATTAGATCTGTAGATCATAAATATCGCTTGGGATATATGGCCATATATAAATGTAGTTTCTCATATGAATGTAGTGTGAAAGAGTGAGTGAATATGATTTTAAGCATTATTCTAGCAATATCACCAGAAATAAGCTTCACACATTGTACCTACGTGGGGAATTGAACCAGGGCATTCGGCGTGACGAGCGAACGCTTTAACCACTAGGCTACCCCACCGTCAGTGTGCAGCAGCACCCCATGTATGTTTCCGTCCGTATATTCACACACTATGCCGCATGACCGTTTACAGTAAAGTACGGTTATAACGAACACGCTTATAACGAACTGACCGATATAACGAACTTATTTTTACTCCCAGCCATTTCATGTATATATGCTGTATATATGCTTATAACGAACTACGGTTATAACGAACTAAAATTAGTGGTCCCTTTGAGTTCGTTATAACCGTAGTTTACTGTACCACTATTTCATACGGCACACATATCAAACGTAACTGTTACGTTAGCAGGACGATGACTACGTATGCATATGCTCCGTACGCAGGACGTTTGTTTGCGACGATGGGCTTGTTGACATGTTTGGTGCTGCACCTGGGATTACGCGCATCACTAATGGATGGAACACGTGTTAGTTACACATTTCATTAAAAACATCCACATTTTCAACATTATAAGAATGCAAATGAGACCACAATATGAGACCAGCTGTATCTATTATGCGTATTGTAAATATAAAAATGTATTCTGATTAAATAATGCGACAGTCCATGACGACACACATGAGCGCACTCTGTTTGATAATGTGCAAAGTCCACAATGTACACGTGAAGATATTATTCATATAGCCAATATGTGGAATATTAAATATTATAAAGCAAAATGGAATATGAACCCTAGGTAGAAGTGACCCACAAACAGTGTTATATACTGCCGGGCAAAAGAAAGTATACACCAGTGTTTGATTGTAGCTAATAATAAAACAAACTAGAACTGGTTATTAGATGGAGTTGTTTTTTCATACGGGTAGTACCAGTTGTGTTTTGGATTTTAAATTTTCAGTGTTATCAGCCTCTTAACGTTTTCAGAACGTACGTTTTTGATCAAATTCATTTGTGAAGTGTATACTGTTCTGTTGCCTGTTACCATTCAGAGCTATCGGCCATGTGTCATGTCACCATTCAGGGCTATCGGCCATGTGTCATGTCACCAGTCATGGTCATCGGCCATATGTCATGTTACCATTCAGTGCTATAGGCCATATGTCATGTCACCATTCAGTGCATTCGGCCATGTGTCATGTCACCATTCAGTGCATTCGGCCATGTGTCATGTCACCATTCAGGGCTTTCGGCCATGTGACATGTCACCATTCAGGGCTATCGGCCATGTGTCATGTCACCATTCAATGCTATCGACCATGTGTCATGTCACCATTCAGGGCTATCGGCTATGTGTCATGTCACCAGTCATGGTCATCGGCCATATGTTATGTTGCCATTCAGTGCTATAGGCCATATGTCATGTCACCATTCAGGGCTTTCGGCCATGTGACATGTCACCATTGAGTGCTATCGACCATGTGTCATGTCACCATTGAGTGCTATCGACCATGTGTCATGTCACCATTGAGTGCTATCGACCATGTGTCATGTCACCATTCATGGTCATTGGCCATGTATCATGTCACCATTCAGAGCTATCGACCATGTGTCATGTCACCATTCAGTGCTATCGGCCATGTGACATGTCACCATTCAAGGCTATCGACCATGTGTCATGTCACCATTCAGTGCATTCGGCCATGTGTTATGTCACCATTCAGTGCATTCGGCCATGTGACATGTCACCATTCAGGGCTATCGGCCATGTGTCATGTCACCATTCAGGGCTATCGACCAAGTGTCATGTCACCATTCAGGGCTATCGGCCATGTGTCATGTCACCATTCAGGGCTATCGGCCATGTGTCATGTCACCATTCAGGGCTATCGGCCATATGTCATGTCATCATTCAGGGCTATCGGCTATGTGTCATGAGGACATTTCAGTTATGCAGTCATTATTTAATTAGGAAGAGATATTGGATTTTTCTCTGCAGATCGTCTTTCAGTCATTTTCGTCAAGTATTAATGAAGAAGAAAAGTCCTTGACATTGTAGATACCCAAAGCACATGCCACTATGGTTCCGATCCGATCCGATCCATAGACCAGGATCATCCATACGATGTTCACAACTATAAAGAACGAATATTAGATATATTATCGCTAATTTAAGATGTTTTAGATTGAAAATCAAACATATGATAAAATAGACTGAGAGGAGTATTTTCCTTTGCTTCTAGGTTTATCATATTATATATTTTGTGATGAAATGCATTATTTATCTCTAAATATTTTACACGAGTGAAATAATTTACGCCGGAACTGCATGTACTTTCAGTGTACCTCAGTGACTGTGATTATCATTAGAAGATCATGAAAAGCATGCAAGAAAATACACACTAAAGCGATCAGTTGTCCTTGTCACATGACCTACAAAGTTGACACGCAGCTGTTCCTTACACACCTGTGGGTGAGAAACCCATTTGAGATAACTGGTATCAAACATATGTGTGAGATCGAATTCCAGGTCTGTGATTGGCTACTCCATGGTGATGACCTAAGGTCAAACTATGACGGGCTACTTTCCTGTAATGCATTGATAAGTTACTCGTACGTCGGTTGAAATCTGTCGAAGCGTTAATAATGTTCTTCAGTCCAGTCGAGTTTGCATTATCATCATCTCCTTGATAATTCACAGATTAGCCGAAACCTTTATTGTGGAAAGTCACACAAGGTATGGGTGGTAAGCAGTAGGCTGGATGACGTCACAAATGACCGTTGTGTTATGTATTAATGCGCCACTGTGATCAAGAAAATAAGCAAAATATGCATGGTGAAATGGTAGGGTGTGAAAGAAACGGAATACTGCACTCGTGCCGGTCAGATACCATTTACCTTACAATTCGTTGTTTCCAAACGTATCTAACTCGCTTTTGCCCTTTGAAACAACTCGCTGTGAGATAAATGGTATCTGACAGACGCTTCTGTAGTAATCGCTGTGGCGGTGATGAATGGATCAACTTTGCAGTTCAATCGATGAGATAGCAATGTTAATGGACAAGAAAACACACATACACTCTATCAATTCATGAAATAGAATTATTTTATAATATTATGATATGATAAACTTTGCATGACCCGTTTGACAAGACATTAACGAAAAATGAAAGAACAAGAGTTGCAGCGAGGTAAGAGGAGGGGAATACTGACACATGAAAATCGTATGCCTCGTTCCAAGAGCCTGGAACCTTTCCTTTTATGTCGAGCAATATTCCTGCGCCTCCAGCCTTTTGTGTTTACATTTCACAACTTTTGAGGTACAATCGAACATGCTCTTTCTACAAGATTTCAAAGAGCGTTATGCAACTCTTGCTCAGAAGATGCTTGATCAAGATTACAACATTCAAGGCCTCAGTAAAGTTTTCAAAAGGTTGGAGAACATTTCCGAATTTGACGCATCAGTTACAAGAATGATGTCCGTTGCAATTCCCTATTTTGACTTGTACCATGTATTCCCGTGTTTTTTCAGGTGAAGAATTAACTTGCCATTGCATGTGTTTGTGATGGGTGCCACCGGTTGGGCAGGATACGCCCCCCTTTTCGCGAACACACGCTCATGATCGGAATCGTAAATAAAAATAATAATCGACTGTGCTTTTGGCAGAGAGTTCTTAAGAATATGGAAAGGGTTTTGTTGCTTCTATTTACAGCACCAAATTAGTAACAGGAATGTGGCTAATATGTCCAGAATCAGATCAAGCTATAGATAATGTCAATATGAACACCAGTTTACTGGTCTCGAAGTCGCCATGTTCCAAAAAGTTCCAACATATATACACATTCGAAACAAAACACAAGGAGGTAACTTCGAGAAAATAGATAAATATGTTTTTTTTATGCAAACATGGCATTACTTCTTTACAAGGTACACCTGTTTCAAATCACTGATACTACATATAAACATCGGTGATATCTGACACGTGACTAAACAAGATATCCACGTGTGTCTCCATAATCATCAACAGCACCTGTTTCGATACATATCCAAAAGTGGATATGTATTTGTTACAACGAAATAAGACCTCTCAGACATGACTACAGCACCTGGTATATATATATATATATATATCTAAATTTCAGCATCACATTTTCCCAAATATGTGCTTAAACACCGTGCTTTATGTAGGACAAAGCAACCGCAAGACAACAACCACGTAAACTTATAAGGGACCGTACTTTTATTATAGGGGTGTGTGCGGGGGGTGTGGGGAGGGGGCGGTATGAATGGTTTGGTTTGGTTTTACAGCCCACCACCCATGTTAAACAGCATTTTTTTCATTAACAGACCCACCCACCCCCAATAATGCATGTAACATTTTTCAAGCACCCCCCCCCCCCCCCCCCCCCCCCCCACGATAATGAAAAAATAGATGTGTCAATTTCGCGTCCCCCCTCCCCTTCTTTCACTCTGTCATTTTTCAGGACTCACTTTAATCTCACCGACCCCCCCATAATAAATGTCCGGTCCTGAAATTGATATGCAAAGCACGTAACATATTTATGATTGTGATCATTTGTAAAAATACAGGATCATAAAGAAACATCACATTTGAAATATTTGAAAAGGTCATATGAAACTGGTCATTCAAAAACTAGAAAGACATAATGAGAAAAGTGAAAAAAGAGAATTGGAGATATGTTACATGCGTCTTAGAAGCCTGGATCACTTGCTTCAATGAATCAGCTACATCGAGATAATCCATAAATAGAGTATACATGTATGTACACAAGTACAATAAACTTAAACTTCTTTTCTGGATTAGTGGCGCCACTATGTCTACAGTATTGTTACATCACATTGAGTCAACCACATTTTTCCATTTCCTATCCAAGTTCCCTATAAATATATTTAATAGGAAAACGACATTGTCATGCATTTTCTCAGTAACACTATATTTGAATGTCCACCAAACGACAAATCGTGATATTGAACTTGGAGTATCACCCCATGATCACAAATAAGACCTAGCCCAGTAATAAAAGACTGTACCACAAACTGTACCGATTCTATTCTTAAAACCACATATTCAGTAGAACACATGTTTGGACACACCCATTGCAATATATAAATTTCACGCCCATTACCAATTTCATGAGATATGTATGAACGAAATTGGTCAGTTGCCTTATTTCGTAACAGATACGATCATCGACAATTTCATATATGTTATTAAGCACGTGGCTTTCGTTTCAAATAGGCTCCCTTCAAAATTACTGTGGCTCAAATGATCAAATATGTGTCTTTATCAACATCAACGACCTGATGACCAGTTATCTTGTGTCACCTCTGTCTAACGGTAACATTACCGAGATGAAGATACATACGGATGACACAGGATGTCCCGAATCACTTCGCTTTCGGTGAACATAACAAATTTAAAGAAACGTGTCTTTCCGATATGGATCACTTACAACGACATACCTACCTCGTCCTAAGACAGATTGCACTTGTTTCCCGTTGGATGACGCATTGTTGATCACACATGTGTCCTCATATGGATATAGATATGACTTGGGTGGTACAGAGCCTTGCCACAGATGGAACATGTGTGACACACCACATGTGGGGGGTGTTTGTTCTGTCTGTGCCTGTCCAGTGCACTGGAACACGGAAAGAAGCGCTCACAAGAGGTACATTTGTAGGACTTGTACCCAGCTTCAGATCTGCTTCTCTTTGAAGATGTTGATCCGCTTCTCCTTGGACGCTTTTTGATTTGGGTAGAATTGGTGGTAGACACATCTGATTCGTCCTGAAGGTCATCTTGCGAGCTGACGTCAACGTTACCAACATCTCGAACAGCAGTAACGTCAGCGGTTGAAGACGACGTATCGCTGCTAGAGATGTTGCTGGAATAGGCATCTCCGACAATGGTGGCACTGGTGTCGAATCTCTCCACAGCATGTTTGCTGTTGTTCAAGACAGAACGCCTGGTGAGAGACAGATCGTCGACGTCATCTTTCGACACCTCTGCAGTTTCTGTGTCATTGGACGTTTCAGACGTGGGAGTTGGTCCATACACAAATGTGTCTTTTCTCTGGGAAGTTTCAACATGTTTTTCCAGGGTCTGTCTGTCAATATACTTCAAGGACTCCTCGGGCCGCGGTGCCTCAACAGCAGCGTATCGTTCTAAGGGAGCCTGGGCATAAAGAGCGAGGTCCTTTGCTTGAGCGATATATATAGTTGTATCCTTACTAGGATCTACATACAGGTTGGCATCCTTTGTTTGAGCAAGATATAATGCAGCATCCTTTGTTTGAGCAATGTATAATATAGCGTCCTTTGCATGAGATGCGTCAATGTGGAGATCTCTCTCGATGATCGGTATGTCACTATTCATATGAGATGAAACACTTGTGATGGGTTCTCCATGTATCTCAACTGAAAAAGGCTTATCGCCTTGCTTCACATTGTTTGATGCCTCAGAGGAGGCAATATCCTCGGCTTTCTTATTGACTATATATCTAATATGAGGTAGTTTATTTCTTGACTGTGAATCGATGATATATGATAGATCGCGTTGGAATTTTCTATCATTTCCACTGGAATAGAAATTTGCAATTGCAACAGGAATTTGACAGTCATTAGTCTCTTCCATTTTGCCACTTGCATCACAAGTATCCCCCCTAGAATAACACTCACCATCGGTGCTTTCTTGATCCAAATCAGTCGTCCTGCATGCCGCATCTCTGTTCGAAAACTTGTCAGAAGTCGATTCCCTATGGTCTGATATGGGACTGAAGGTTTTTCTTTCAACTGAGCGTGTTTCATCCTCGCCGGGAAACATTTTGATTGAAGATACACCCGCATCGGATGCTAATACTTTCCGATAGTAATAACTGTGACGTGCGGGATCGTAATTAATTATCTTTTGTAAATCAGATACTTTCTGATCTGTAATTTGCGTTTCACTTGTGGAAAAGGATTCTTGATGTGCATTATTCGGATCATATAGATGAAGGTGCCTTGTGTCTATGGTTGCATTCTGTAACAAAACCATGTTGATTTCGGAGACAGTTCGGGGTTTCTCTCGAGAGTTGGAATCCGTAGAATCCTGCGACTTTGTACTCCTATAAACGTCTTGCATTTCTTGTGATACGAAAGTCTCATATCTCGCGTGTTTCGTGTACGTCTCCGGTGTCTCCTCTGTTCTGAGCGTCTCATATGTCACGGGGTTTTCGTACGATTCTTCGGCAACTTTATCATATAAATGTGTTCGTCCGTGCACGTCTTTCCTCCCATTGATCGACGAGCTATAGGCGACAGCCATCTTCTCAACATCAGAAGCTTCATAATCACTGGCACCGGAAGTCTTTCGTAAAGTGGCCATCTCATGCGAGGGTGGTAACCTATTAACCTCCGAGTTTACACGTTCATTTGAGGAATTGCTACTTCTGGTTTTCCTATCTGTGTCCATGACATTACCCTACACGACGAGCATCTGGTTCTTTCCAAGGAATCGCACGAAAACAAAATTCAAAATTATATTTCATTGATTTCATAAACTTCTTCAATATCTACTTATGAACATGTGTCTTGCAAAGGCTCCCAAGGGTTTACACTGATAACATTGGTCCGTCTGTCTAACATGTTTCTCAGTCTGTTATTGATATTCATGGGTTCGGGAGTCTGCTTCTTCGGGGTTTTTTGAGTACATAATGTCATCAAATGAACTCATTGCATGTGACGTCATATTGCGTCAGCGAGTTGCCTCCCTTGCCTTGTCACCAGAGGGCGGCACATATCACCCGCCACCAGGAGGCATCATATATCAGGAAGGCGCTATGTGTTTTACATTGTCCTGAAATTGAAAAACAGTCGTGTTGAAACGTAGCTGAAAATGTAGTTGAGAACAAGGACAATAAAGTTTGATACCCAAGACAGGTTTGTATAAAGATCGGAAGCAGTTTAGTTAAACGAGTCTCATGGAACACATATAAAATAATTAAATCTTAAAATATCATCCCCTGTACCTGGTTCATCACTCATCCCTTTTATGATACTTTTTCACGAATTATTTTGCATATCCATCACGCATGATAGCTACAATGGATCGAATTATCGTAAACATATGCGAAATCAGAAATCTGCGGGCCATTGTAACTTGATGGCATCAAGCATTTCCCTAACGACGTGTGCTGTCACGTCTCGTGTTTTGTGGCGTCATCCTGTATGATGTTCTCTGACGTTGCTGTTTGTAAATCAGTGACCTCTGTTGTGACGTCTTTAATACAGCCATTAAACGTATGCAATTGTTTGCTGTTTTGGTCATTTTTAGGATCAGCTACAAATTCTATTCATTTCAGCTATTATAACTATAAACTTATTTTTCAGGGCACAATCATTGCAACAGGTCTGTTCACCTGCCCACCTTCTCTGAGTAGTTGAATAATCTCGGGCTACTGCAAATGATAATGCGCTGAAAATTAAAGTTACCGGGGAAAACGGCTGGAACATTCTATCGAGATAACATATTTTTTCAGTAACAGCTACAAAACCAGATATTTATTTATTTATCAAAATTCAATTTTAAAGAAAACCTTGCAACAATGAATTTTTGTGGCCGGAAATGTCTTCTTTTTTCAACAGTCTGAAGCATAAATATAAATTTCAAGAATTTTGAGGAGAATGTAGTTTTTTCGATAAAATTCAAGCCAAATCCCCCTCCACCCCCAGAATATGTTACCTCATATATGTTATAAAACGTTGTGCGTGCGTGCGTGTGATATCATATTGTGATCGTAGGTTTCTCTATGTTCTTCCACGTTACTGTTATAACACGCTGTGTTTACAGTTTGGTGTCATAACAAACTGTGTTCGCATGTCAGTGTCATAGCAAACTGTGTTCGCGTTGTGTTGCATGCTAATATTATGACAAGTTGTGTTCGCATGTTACTGTCATGAAATATTGAGTTCGCATGTTGATGTCACATCACGTTATGTTCGCATTTTCGAGAAATGACACACTGAGTTCGCATCTTCGTCTCATGACACTTTGCGTTTGCATGTCTGTGTCATGACACATTGAGGTCGCATATTAGTGTCACATCACGTTGTGTTCGCATGATAGTGTCATGACCCACTGAGTTCGCATCTTCGTCTCATGACACGTTGTGATGCATGTTAGTGTTAAGACAAGTTGTGTTTGCATATTGGTGTCATGCAGTGTTCTGTTCGCATGTTAGTGTCATGACACACTGTGTTCGCATGTTAGTGGCATGACAAATTGAGAACGGATACTTGTGGCATGCCACGTTGTGTTCGCATCTTATTATCAGAACATATTGTGTTCGCATGCTTCTGTCATGACACATTGTTTTAGCATGTTGGGTGTCATCACACGTCTTCTATAACACATTGTGTTGTAATATTGATATAACACGTTGTGTTCGCATGTAAAAAAAGTTGGACTGTGTATGTGGATGCATATATGTGTCTCTGTGCATGCATGTTTTGGGGGGAAGAGTGTATATGGGGATATATATATGTGTGTGTGTGTGTGTGTGTGTGTGTGTGTGTGTGTGTGTGTGTGTGTGTGTGTGTGTGTGTGTGTGTGTGTGTGTGTGTGTGTGTGTGTGCGTGTGTGTGTGTGCGTGAATTGGTGTGTATGTGTGTGTGCGTGCGCGCGCGAGTGCGTGTGTGTTATTACGCCTTGTGTTTGTGCGTCCCTGTCCATCTGCTAGGATTCAACTTGCCGACCGAAAAAACTCTACGTACAAGATAGGTTTAGTAGGGTACATCTGACATTATTTCACAGTTAAAACGTCAAGAACGGTCTCCGATACGTTCAACTCTGTATGTTTCATCATGCTATGCTATTATAAGCGCCATCTGTGAAACTGAACAAAATAATTGTTTCACAAATAGGATAGTCATAAACTGATAGACTGATGCATCATGGATGTTCTGCTGTCAGTCAACAGTGCATGTTGAATGGCTTGAATACAACTTGCTGATAGTGTCATATTGCCAGAACCGATTCTCCATGTTAGCCAAACAGAATATGTTAACAGAACACTTCTGCCGATTATCTATCCTAACACTTACAGATCCCATTGATAGTCTGTCATACAGACCCTAAAACAAATATATCCAGGACTATAATGTTTGGCAAGTCTAGATTACTGCAGTATCTTCTCTAAAGTCTCTGGGCTCCTTTTTACTATATTTTATAACTATAATTAAACAACGTTTTTTTTCTGTATAATAAGCTCATTTCAGAGACTAGATGTTAAGAACAGGCACGAAAGCGGTGAAACATATATGAATGGATCACTGACTAGGTCACTAGGACGCTATTAAGGGGGTAATTGGCTGTCCCAGCAAGTAATTTTAAATCGTTCAAGCACCACTTTGTCTGCTGACATAACACTTATGGTGTACATGTATGTCAATTCAACACACAAGGCGCGCTCTACAACGTCCATGCCTCAACACAGGAACAAGGGAACATGGTGCTTACGTAAGGACAGGCTCCGAATGATATGAAAATAGTCCCAATTTTGCTCTATGGTTCCGAAGTCTGGGGTCTACACCAGAATGATGAAATGGAAACTATACATACATTGGCATGCAAGCGCTTTCTAGGTGTCAAATCGTCAACACCCAACAACATGGTTCGAGGTGAATGTGGGCGGTATCCATTATATATTTATGCATACAAAAGAGTTATTGGTTATTGGATAAGGTTATTGAGTATGTCCGATTGTCGCTTTCCAAAGAAATGTTATAATATGATGCTTCAGGCAGAAAGTAATGGTAAAATTAATTGGGTATCAAAATGTAAATTTTTATTGTTCCGTTTGGGTTTTGGCTCTGTATGGGAAAACCAGTGTATAAGTCATCCTCATTCGTTTTTGACAGAATTTATGCCGCGTCTGAAATGTAGTTATGAACAGGATTGGCATAGTCTTCTGGTAAAGGGTAGTAAATCTTTCTCGTATTCTCTATTCAAGGTATCGTTTGGTACAGAGTTGTATCTTAGCTGTATGACCGTCAGTAAATTGAGAGTGGCGCTAGCTCGATTTAGATGTTTTTCGCATCAGCTGTGTGTTGAAACTGGGAGATATGCTGATATCCCACGTAACAGAAGACTATGTTGTGTTTGTAATGCTGGGTATGTGGAGGACGAGTTTCATTTTTTGTTAGTTTGCTCCGGTTATAACAAGATACGCATGGATCACTTACCACAGACATTTTATGAATATCCGACCATACAAAACTTTAATATCATTATGTCTACAACTGATTGTAAATTAATTGAACGTCTAGCTATCTATATCTATCAAGCGATGTCACTTCGTAGTACATTATTGCCACAACAATAACAGCTGTGTACATCACGTCCATTGTAATACAAATGTAACTATGGGCCGATGGCCTACACTTACGAAAATAAACCGAATTGAATTGGATTGAATTGACAGGCTCCGTCTTACATTTTGTAAGTCACAAGACATAAAAAATGAAAAAAATATATATAACTGATCACATCCCCTCACACGTTCTGTCTGCAAAGTATTCAGTCTTAACGGTTTCAAATGTACTCTCTACTCTCAGTGAGTTAGTTTGGTTTATCGCCGCCTTGAACAGTATTCCAGTTATATTATATTCGAGCGCCCACGATAGTCGGTTTCCGATGTCCAATTAGTGAAGTTTTACTTGGTTTACATGGTTTACATGGTAAGTGGCATGGGTTGTGGATACGGGAAATAGTGGAGACACTATTGTTTGACGCCGCAGTCAGCACTATTCCTGGTTTACCACGGCCTACGGGATATGAGCAGGGCGAGAGTATGCATTATTGTCTCCTGACTGAGTGAGTGAGTGAGTGAGTTGGGTTTAACGCCGCTTTAAACAGTATTCCAGTTATATCACGGCGTGTCAGCTTAATGTGGGAGGAAAGCCCGAAGTGATGCAGGTCTCAGACGTTTACCAGTTCGGTGAAACCAACGGGCACGGGTATGGTGCTGACAAACATAATCGGGGCGAACCGGGATTCGAACCCACAATCATAGGTTTCTGGTTTGTGCCCAAGGGACGCAACTCTGCACAGCGAATCGCGGCGCCTTAGACGACTGGGCCATCCGTGTCCCCTCTTGACTGAGGTTACTGAAGAGGATTCGTTCCTTTATATATCTCCAAATAGTGTACATACATCATCTGCTATAATAAGAGTGAGTGAGTATGGTTTTACGCCGCTTTTAGCAATATTCCAGCAATATCACGGCGGGGGACACCAGAAATGGGCTTCACACATTGTTCCCATGTCGGGAATCGAACCCGGGTCTTCGGCGTGACGAGCGAACGCTTTAACCACTAGGCTACCAGACCGCCCTGCTATAATAAGAAATATCTTACATAATAATCATGATCATTTCTAAATAACCGATTACATGTAGAATATAATGTAATTGCAATATGCTCTTCGTCTTTACTGACTTTGTTTATATATTGCTATTGTTATACCAAGGTTCCGTCCGTCCGTCCGTCCGTCCGTCAGTCCGAAAACGTTGTCCGCGCGATTTCTCTTCAACTATTCAGTGGATTCATCTAAAACTTAGTACATATAATCTGTGTCATATGGAGGGGTGCAGTCAAAAGAAAAAAATGTTTTTTATAAATTTTCCATTTTTTTATGAATTTTTCAAACCCTAACCGTATCCATTATTTAATTTGAAACTACTGACACACTAGGCGGGTCGGGGGTATTCGTGAGCTTTTTTCTATTTTAATTTTAAGTATTTATGAAAAAATATGTCAACTTACTGTTACACTGAAACACTTTGAACACGCTTTGTTTTAAATATTGATATATTTGTCAAAATGGCAACACAAACCAATTAAGTTGCTCTGTGTATTTAGATAATCAAAAACAACAACGTCGTTCGGGTTTCAATTTCATTCGATGTGATTCGACTTGAGCACAAAAAACACAATTATGATGAAGAGTTATTATTGTGTGTCAGCATATGATATTAAAAGATTACTGTACTATCATCTGAATGAATACATAGGCGGATCAAGAGGGGTGGGTGGGGTTGGGTGAGGGTTGGGTTTGGGGAGTGTGGATATTTGATATTTTGGTCCCCTCCCTTTTGAAAAGGCTGGATCCGCCCTTGGAATAGTATGTGTATGACATCATTAGAGCTGTTAATAGTTCATACATTGCTTGGTGTAAAATGCGTTTTCAGGAAACCTTAAGATTTGTTTGTTTTTTAATATACATATCATTCATTTTTTATTTTGCTTTGGATGTATATTTTATCATGTTACAGATAAATAGACGAATCAAATACTTCGCACTAACTGTAAACAACACATGTGAAAACACTCAATTATTAATAATAATAATAATAATAATAATATAGTTTATTAATGTGTCATGTTTACATAATACACCTGGCCATTACTGGCCTAAACGACACCTAAAATTATACAATCAATAAAATACATAAATAAAATATTATAACTAACAATTTCTTCATATGTATACAGCAAACCCCATTATTGAGTGTGAGTTCCACTGATTCAAACACAATAATCATGTCACGTTAGTTGATATTTCGTTTGAAGAAAAAGTGTCTGTATAATATTATTTTCAAACGGGTTCGACTAAATGTGGGGTGTATGACCTCGCGCTCTCGACAATGACTGCACATGAGGGAATTCTCACATTCAAGCTCCGTATCACGCGAGGATGGAGATTTGATTACGGGCGTGAGCGGCTGGGCGTGACGGAACAGTCACCACACAAAGAACCGTCACTATTATCATTCCACTCACAACAAACTCCCTGTCCTTGCGCCAGTACAACGGACGAGCTGGCCTCACAGATTTCCAAGTGACCTTGACATTGGTCGGAAAATCAATAACCCGAGTACCACAGTTGATGGAGATAATACAGTTCTAACTCATCATATACATCTCACGCGTTGCACGTATCGTGTCGCAGATCACGTGACCAACACGCGTTCATTGTCAAAACAGACATATAAAATAATCGATAATTTCAATTTATAAAACTTTCAAAATTTCAAAAATGGTCATTATCCCTGATCCGACATAATAAAGGATTTTTATGAAAGGTTTGATACTGTTTGGGCCTTGGACGCTGCCTTACAGAATCCCTTATGATTGATAATCTCTGGACGAGGACGTGGTGTTTTTTTGCTATGCAAATTAAACTGTATATATACATATTTCTAAACAATGACCCTCACACACAAGCAGATGTACCTATATACGGTAATCAATATGGCCACGATCAGACTCGGAAACAAACTAAATCGATGAACGATCAATATATCTTACCGTGTGGATGATATATCAAAGATATACGTTTCTTAGTCCGATTATATGGATGACCCCCTTAGAACCATTAACTCCTCATCTGTGTAGAAAAACGCTCAGACTACTGCACATGCGCAGTGAGAACAGCAGCCGTTATCGATTTTCACATCGCCCGAGTTTACAGAACGCTCATTATGCCAGACAATCTATTTATAGCTCATAGAAGAAAGGGGGAAGTCTTTGAATCGATTTTCTGGTATTTCCTTCGGAGTGGCGTGTTCCTTCAAATAAACAAAAGCGAGAAAAAACATTTTTATAATTATATTAAATCTATTCTAAAAGCAGAGTCCATTTTATGGTTCCAACCTAATCAGGATTATGCGTTTAGGATCAGCGTTCCATTATCGAGTCATGTGACCTACTACAGCGTACGAGTCACGTGATCCGTCGTGACCTGTAATGGATTATTTTCATGTTGTTTTTATCTTGTCAGCTGAATGTTTTTATTTTATACTACTATTGCCCATTAATCGTTACAATTTACGTAATTCGAGTGATTAAATCTATTGTGGGTGTAACAAAAGCGAAAGTAAACAACGATTGATAGAACACTATCGTAGGACGCGATTAACATGGTAACAAGAGTTCTCTCCCTTCTCACAGTTTCAACAATGAGTTGGTTTCAGTAATGGCGATATTTCTACACACAGACGTGTCGTTGTCGTGGTTCACTCTGGTATACTTCTACTATGTGGTATGTGCATAAAATGTCCTTCTATCCTGTTTTGACGGTTATTATGTAATTTGGGCCGTAGGTTAGCCTTGTTGTGAAATGGTTGTGAAATGGAAATTGATCTTCAGCAACCCATGCTTGCCTAAAAGGCGACTAACGGGAGCGGGTGGTCAGGCTCGCTGACTTGGTTCATGCATGTCATTGTATCCCAACTGCGTGGATCGAGGCTCATGATGTCAACCACTGGATTGTCTGGTCCAACCTCGATTATTTACAGACCGCCGTCATATAGCTGGAATATTGCTGAGTGCGGCGTTAAACAACAATGTTGCTGAGTGCGGTGTTAAACAACAATGTTGCTGAATGAGGCGTTAAACAATAAACAACAACAACTAAATGGGTTCACTGTGAAACACCCGTTATTGACATTCACTAACTTTCCCCTCGTTCTCCTTACCTCCCTCCCTTACTCACCCACGAACCACTCACTCACTCACTCACTCACACACTCACTCAGTTGAATGCTTTCTCATCCAATCTATGAGTGAGTGAGTGAGTGAGTATGGTTTTACGCCGTTTTTTAGCAATATTCCAGCAATATCACGGCGGGGGACACCAGAAATGGGCTTCACACATTGTACCCATGTCGGGAATCGAACCCGGGTCTTCGGCGTGACGAGCGAACGCTTTAACCACTAGGCTACCCGACCGCCCCTCCAATCTATGTCTTTGTCAAGGGAGGAAGCAGCCGTTTCTTTGTAAAGGAGGAGTGAATGTTGTGCCCATATCTTTATTGAAGCAAATCATCAAATTAGTTACTTATAAATACAAAATACCTTTCGGGAAGTGGTCAAATGCAACAAATGTCATATTTCGGATAACATGTTCTTTGTAAACTTTTTTCAACTTCCGTCCGGGATTCGAATCCAAACACTCAGACTCAACCCAAAAAGGTACGAGAACTTGTACTTAACTAAGAAAGTGTTCAAACCCAGATATAAACCCTGGTATGCCAGTCCACGTGGCAATGTACAGGGTCATGTAAAGTCGTGGACAATTACCATGAATAAATGATGTCAAAAAAATAAAAAATAAATAAAACTAAGAAAGTGTAATCCCCAAAATAAGATCTGTTGAAATATAGTTAGTTATAGTTTTGTCATATGTTTACACTTATTTAGACACATAAATGACGTCACATGTTTCTAAATACCGATAAACACGAATTCACTCACTCATTCACTGACTCACGCATCATCTATCCAACACCCCGTGGCGGGATGTATATATATACATATTATACAGCTGTCTGCATTGACGTCACTGAGAATGGAGGGTCAAATCAGGGTCAAGCACTTGGCTATGGTAACTTCATGCATATTCATGATTATCCATGCATATTAATCGTCCATCCTCCAAACCAAATACGTTCAATTGGTAGATGCGTGTGTCCGCCCCACTTGATCTGTATCAACCAGAAGCCAGCTGTTGTCTTTAGCTAGCCAGACAGCTGTGTCGTTTTAGAAATATGCCTGATCGATTCAAGAATCATGCCTCATGACAGGCTTACCGCTAGTCACAAGAATTGGAACTCATATTGTCGGCAAAATTGGCCGACGTGAACATACAGAATATATTCAACCTCGCCACTTAGTGTAAATACGAAATCTTTTTACAGCAAAATACAAGATATTCTTATGGGAAAATATCTTATAAGCTGGCAGGAACTTTTATGGAGAAAGAAAGTTTATACTGGTACAAGCAAACTCGGTAGGTGTAGAATTTTTTAAGATTGTTTTTGCTGTGAAAATTAAGCCAAGAGCTGAAAACCTTGGATTTATCGTTCTTCCTTTGCTAAATATAGATGTGGCGGTGCACCTTTAAGAAACGAAACAGGCAGATATATAGACTTAAAACTTGAAGACAGAGTGTGTTTTTACTGTTAACATCTTATTAAAGATGAGGAATGTGTTTTACTGCAATGTCCCCTGTACCGTTATATTAGATTTACGGGGCGGTGGGGTAGCCTAGTGTTTAAAGCGTTCTCTCGTCATGCCGAAGACCCGGGTTCGATTCCCGACATGGGTACAATGTGTGAAGCCCATTTTTCTGGTGTCCCCCGCCGTGATATTGCTGGAATATTGCTAAAAGCGGTGTAAAACCATACTCACTCACTCACTCACTTACATTAAATTTACATTAATAATGAACATAACGGCTACAATGTCCAACCTATTAACCTGTCAAACAACGACATAGTGTGTGTCCTTTTAAACATAGGTTATATTTCACATATTTAATATTTTATTATATTTAGCATTTGTCAATTTGGTTAACCATTTGTATACGTGTATATCATTTAGTTTCGTATCGTCCCTCATTCCTTTATATGAGTGGTGCTGTATTATTATTTTAATGTATAAATTCCTATTTTATGCATGTTTTTATGCTGCCTGTCATACATCAGCAGACTAGTCTTTATCTGTCGGAAGCCAGCTGTTGTGTTTTTGTGAGGATTGTTAAAGGGGAAGTGTACACGCAAAAATCACTTTCTTTCTTTTTCTAAACAAAACGCAATTTTAGAATTAATTAGTATCTGTGTTTGAAAATATACACTCATTTTTTTCACAGTGAAAGTAGGAAGCTCACAATAGTGTGAAAATGATATGCCGTTATGAGGCCTTCGTTTTTCGAGCTAAACAGGCCTGAGTTATCCCCCTTAGATTATGACGTAATTGGTGCCAATTCAACTGGGTCCCTGTCTATTCTCAACGCAAAAGATATCAAGTACCAGTTTGCGGTAAAACAACATGGCCTACGACACACTCCGGCGCAGTGGTGACTCAGCATAACACTATGCTGGCTGGCATCTGAGGCGCTAGAATCACACACCTAGACCTACACCACGTGAAGCGGCTCTAACAAAGCATGATGACGTCATAATGTTTATCAATTGGCACCAATGACGTCATATTGCAAGGGGCATAAGCCATGGTGTTTTTGTTGTGGAAATAGAACACTTGGTAAATGTGAAAAATATAAATCGTTTTAATGCGAAAAATATGTTAATTAATTGTGATATTTTTATATTTTTGTCTATGACACTTCTAGGTTAACACTTTTAATGTGGAAAAAGTACAAGAAAAATAGGTTCATTTCCGTGTGAACTTGCCCTTTAATACAAATCGTCAAATAACTCGACCGGCTGTGTGATACTCGTCCAGTGCTGAACACACATTATGTATCCCAGATACGCTGTCAATAAACTTGTGCACTGAGAGTGCGTGAGTTACAATATTTCAGCCACATCGCGACGAGAACTTAAACATAATAAATATATTTACATGCATATGGGTGAATGAGTGAGTTAAAATTTAACGACGCATCGGCATTATTCAAGCCATATAGCGACGAGACCAAGTTAATATGTTAACAATTGAGTCATCTATGCAAAGTAATATTTAAAATCAATTCATGCATGCTATTTTAAAAACAATTTATGAAACATATTTGAGCATAACAATATAATACAGTTTTAAGACACGGGCTATAGGCCACTACATGCATATGGAATAAAAACCTGTCTGCGAAGGACGGTTGAGTAACTAGAGTATCGGAGTTTCGATTTTGAAACTAGTTGAGAGAATACATTTTCAATCAACAATACACTATTAAAATGGGCTATAGATCACCAGCAACCAAAGTTAGGCCAGCTTACTAGGGATGTTCACTGTGAATATTGAGTGGAAATGTCGTCACCCGACTCCTGATACACATGCATGTCACAATGGCTTCCGACCGCCTCCGTGGTCTAGTGGTAGAGCGTCCGCCCGGAGAGCAGAAGTTCCGGGGTTCGATCCCCAGCCGCGTCATACTAAAAGACGTTATAAGATGGTACTTGTTGTTACCCTGTCTGGCGCTCGGCATTAAGGGGCTAAACAAGGACTGGTCGGCTCGGAGTCAGTATACTGTGTCTGAGTGGGGTATTCATGTTAAACTGCGGCATGGTTTCTCAGTGTCAGTGGTGACGTCACAATCAAATGTCTTCACTAATTTGTTTACCATTGAAGCTGATAACCTGTATTTTTTACAATCAAGACACCGCAAAATTTGAAGAATGATTTTGGATGATAGGTATAATCTCACCATTGTATGACGAAGTTTTAAACTTTTGTCGACTCTTTTTGATTATGTTTCATGTCAAAAGACACTCGGGTGAGATTGTGTATTTACACAATTACCTTGTGGGCACAGGTGGCGCCCTCATCTCAAGGACTTGTTTGGTATCAAATGCCATGAACACCTTGTATAATACATTTTCTGTTAATTCACTATACATTGTGTTGTTAAATACACTGCATGGTATACGTACATTGCAAGA